TTTTTTTTTTGGGGGGGGGGGGGGGTTAGTAATTAACGGAAAATAATATTGGATGGGTAGGATGGTCAGAGATTACAGAAAATTATGAAAACTAGATGAGGAGCCATTTGATTAGAAAATGGCTTTTTGGGGCCAGCCCGGTGGCGCACTGCTACAGTGTGCCGCTTGGGAGTGCGGCGGTGCTCCCGCCGAGGGTTCGGATCCCACATGCAGACCGGCCGCTCACTGGCTGAGCGAGGTGTGGACGCAACACCAAGGGTTGCGATCCCGTTGCTGGTCCCGGTCCGGTGCGGGCGCGACACTGAGGGTTGCGATCCGCTGCCGGTCACGAAAAAAGACAAAAAGGAAAAAAAAAAAAAAGAAAAAAAAAGAAAATGGCTTTTTGTTCTAGTTACAGTAAAACATTCATCGTACATAATTAGGTTTTTTCCATCTAACAGTTATGTATGTTAAATGAAATAAAATAGTCTGTGAAAGCATTTAGCAGACTGCCTGGGCACATAGTAGTCACCCAAAAAATGTGAATAGAATCTGGATCTTCTAATGGACTTATAAACTCTTTGTACTCTGGGTAAGATAGAAAAGGGATGCTCTGATAGCGCTGTCCAATAGAAATACAATGTGAGCCACAAATATAATTTAAAAATTTCTAATAACCACATTAACAGCTAAAAATAAACAGGTGAAATTAATTTTAATGTTTTCTTCTTAAGCCCAGTATGTATTAATGAGATATTTTATATTTTTTGGTACTATGTCTTCAAACTCTGTTATGTACTTTATACTTATAGTACATCTCATTTCATGTGCTTAATAGACACTATGGCTAGCAGCTACTGTACTGGACACCATAGCTCCTTATTTTTATAGCATGGAATCTGGTGTCAAATGACCAGATTTGAACCCTGTCATTCTATTTCTTAGCTATCTGAGTGAAGACCAGTTACATAACCTCTCTGTGCATTAGCTTCCTGATGTATAAAATGAGAAAAGTAATAGTATCTACCTGAAAGTTATTGTGAGAGTTAAATGAGATAATATATGTGAAGCATGTAACTTGGTATCTGGTAAGTAGTAAGTGAAAAGAAATGTTTATTTTAATTAATTCCATCACACTGTTATTGTCATTAAGTAGCAACCATCCCTTAGTTTCTGTGTCGTCTTCTTGAAAATATTTGATTATCCCCACCTAAATATTACCACTTAAAATTCTAAACCAATCACTAAATAGCAAAGAAAGACTGAGCTGGGAGAAAAAAGGTTGTGAGTGGTATATGCTTGACATTATAGACTACTATTACTACTATTGGTATTCCCCTATGGGGTGCAGATAAATTATTTTAATTTGCTGTAATAGTTAACAGACTTATTGGGACTTTTGACTTTTTGAACCTAGCATCATTATAGATGCTTCCTCAATAAAATTCATGTCTAAGCTAAGTAATAGTTTCTTTACCAACATTGAAATACAGAAAGCATTCACTGTCTTACGACCCACCCCCCACCCCCCTGCTTTGAATCTCAAGATTGCATTCTCAGCTGTTTAGGGCCAAGATTTAATTGTCAATATTGTTTTCTTCTATTTAAACCCTTACAGGAAAGTGCACAAAACAAAAAAGTATAGAGATTTATATACTCTTATGTAACTATAATGTAGATAGAAACGTAAAACATTGCCAACTCCCCAGAAGGTCTCCGTACCCCTCCCAATGTATCCCAATGCTCATGCTAATTACTTTCTAGCTTTTCTGTATAGTTTTAACAACTGTGTAGCCCTGATCATGGTAGTTTAGTTTTGCCTGTTTTTGAGTTTTGTATGAGTGCAATTACACATATAATTCTTCATTCAACATATTGTGAGATTCATCCATGTTCTTGCATGTAGCAGCAGGTCATTCATTTTCATGGTTGTATGGTATTTCATTGTATGAATGTGCTATAGTTTATGTATTCTGTGGTAGATGGACAGCTGGATTCTTTTTTTGCAGTTTGGGGTTATTATAAACAGTACTATTATGAAAATTTTTATGCATATAAACATGCATTTCTGTAAAACACAATGAAAGAATTGCTTGTTCATAGAGAATGCAGTCTTGAACTTTCATAGATAGTGCCAAACTTTCCAAAGTGGTTCTACCAGTTGATGTTTCCATCATTGGTGGATGAGAGTTTCCATTGCTGTACATCCTTGAGAAACGAAAATGGCCATTTTTTACAATTTTAGTCATTCTGGTAGGTGTATAAAGATATTTCATTGTGGTTTTACCATTTCTTTTTCCTGCTAAGAAACATTTAGGAAGAAGTTTCTGAAAATATTAACTAAGATGAATCCTTTGGTTTTCAATTTTCCATGCTGTCCCTGTCTTTCAATACCACAATCAAGTGTTGATGACACTTTTTAGAAAAAGCATTTTAAATTTTAATTGGATGCATGAAAGCAATTAATTTGGGATATTGCCCAAGATTCTTTCTCTATACTTTTTATTGGCTTATCTAAAAAACAGATGTATTATTTCTCTTTATTAAGCTGCTATGCCAGGAATCATAACCATTCCTGAAATAAGAGGTTTGGTCTGTGGTTTGTGGAGTTGGATTTAATGAGTAACTCTTTCTAATTCCTCTGGAATTGAGCTGTTTTTCTTTGTTACTTTTTTTTTTTTTTTTTTTTTATGAAGTAGTGCCATGGTAACTGATCTGATTAACAATGAATGGCTGGTTACTGTTGACTGAAGTAAAACAGACTTTTAACAGCTCATGGGTAATGTTCTGAAAGGTAAAGTGACACAAGATAAATGTCTGTGTTTCACTCTGAAAATAGCAAAAGGTATATGGAACCAAAAGTTAATTGACTCTTAAATTTAATCCCGCTTTGAAAATGCTTTGGCATGATGAAAATTGTACTGTGATTTCTTTTTGCACAAGTAATACTAAGAATAGAAAATAATTAAGGAGATAATGCTTTGAAGATTGTAAATGCTGATTAAATTTTATGGATAAGCTCAAAGTGTGTGTATGCATTTTTTTTTTAAAGTCTTATGTACACTGAAAAGAGAATTATGGGATTTTTTTCTGCATAATTGAGTGTCCAAAATTACAAGTTTTGTACCTGTTTATAAGTGTTAAAAACAATTATGTTGTTTCATTCTCTAGTTTGATTGAAAAAAATGTAAATTTCTAAAATGTTTTTTAAATAGGATATTTTAACCTGAGATTTTTGTCCCATTAATAGTCATTTAGTGGTAGAAGGATTTTAAGCTGAAAAGTTTTAAGTACTTTAAAAGGATTGATGTAAACTTCATCTGAAAACAATTATAATTTAAAGTTGGAAGGCAAATAGTTAAAATGTAAAATCTGGTCCCACCAAAAATAAAGAAAAAAATATTTTTCTTTCTACACGTATGGTTATTTTTGATGTTTAATAGGAATGAATCTTGCACCAATTGTGGCTTACTCTTTCTTGTGCTGGGTTTAGAGCTTGGGATATATTTGGTTGCACAGCTTTTGAGTTAAAATTAAGTATAGAGTTAAAAGACTCTATACTTCCTATGTAGAGTCACAAATTGTGTTTTCTGGTACTTTGGGGTTTAAACAGGACTTGAAATATTTCTGGAAAAGGTAATGAATTTTATTTTTGGAAAAATGATGGAATAGAAATTTGGATGAATGAAAGCCAAGGAGATTTCTGGTTTCTTTTTATAAAAGCTAAATGTCTCACAAATTTTGCAGATTGAGAATCAAAATAAGAAAAATCTGTTTATATTTTAATCTTTGCTCTTTCATGCTTGTGACAAATTTTGAGGTATATTGATTGTTTGCTACAATGTAGTCACATATGTAAGCAAGTAAAGTATTTGAAAATTTAATGTTAACGGTTGAATTCTTTATAATAATATGTGAGGATATTCACACCCAAATTCAGAATGCCGTGTGTTGCTAAGAGATAGCCTGTCTTAGTATGGCCAGATTAACCATTTCCAAAGTATTTAAACTTTTTCAGCCTTTTAAAATCATTGGGGCAGTTATTTTTGACCCTCAAATAACCAGAGTAAACATCAGGGACCTAAATCTCATCTTTCTTGGCTGTTTAGTTTTTTAAACCGGCCGTACAGCCTGAACAACTCGTAAATATGTTCTTGAATTGTTTTAATTGATCAGCTTACCTGAGAGATCAGCCCGAGACAACATTTTATGTTAATAATTCAGTTGATTTGCGTTAATTTACCAGTTCTCTCAATTTGGGCAAGACCACTTGCAAATAAACTGCTCTGTTTTAAAGTAGCTTTGATATATGCTGATTTTACCATAAGCAGTAACTAATCGAACTCTAGTTATTATATATTCAAAAGCCCTTTTAATCTAAAGTTAAGTTTAATCCCTTTTTAAATTAAAAATAAATTCTGCTTTATAGCACTTTCTCCTCTGCTTGGTAGAATTAGTTAAACAATGGATACACTTAGAGAGTCTTGTCAGATTATATCCCATTAATTTATTATTTTCTTTTTAGGTCCTAATAGTCTAAATAAAGACTAGGGGGGAAAAAACTATAAAGTGAAATGTGGTGGCAGTGATAAGAATATCAGTTTCTGAACTTTTCACCTTTTACTTTTAAGATAAAGATACAGATATCACCATGAAGGGGAATGTGGATGACTTTGGCCTGCGAGATACCTTGAGTGTCGCATCAACTGATTCGTTTGCTTCAGCAGCAGAGGTAGGACACATATATTCCTAATGAAGATTTCTCTTTCATTTTTAGCTGGACAGTATAGTTTTGCCATTGTGCTGTAATTCAGTTTGGTCACTATTTTTTTAGCATCTACCATGTGGTAAATACCTGTATACAAAGATGAATATATACAAAAATGAATATACAAAGATGAAGAGAGCTTGTAGTCTCTTTAAGGAGGTGGACATGTAGACACATTTTTTTTTTGTGGCTGGCTGGTAGGTAAACACATTTTAGATGGGCATTTTCATATGCTGTAGATTATGAGTGAGGCATATAAATTAGTATCTGAATGTAATTTTTCAGCTTATATCAAGAGTCTTAAAAATGTTCAGGTTCTTTAGTTTAGAAATCATACTTCTAGATATTTGTTCCAAAGAAGTAATCAGATTCAAAAATTTATATATAAAAATATTGACTGTGGCATTTTAATAACGATGAAAAACTGAAAAGAGTCTAATTATGGATATACCTTAATTTGGAATATTATTGTACCATTAACATGTTTCCAATAATTTTTAATAACATGGGAATGAACGTCTGTTAAGTGAAATGAGTAATATATAAAGTTTTATGTAGAGGGTATGACTGTAATTTTGTAGAAAGAAACAAAGAAACACATATACAGTATGTGTTTTGAAGTACTTGGGTACTTCAAAAAGTTCATGGAAAAATAGAATTAAAAGATAATACAAATATTTCCATGAACTTTTTTTAACATGTACTTTTACATGTTTGGGGTGTACAGTATGTTGTTTCAATACATGCATATGCTGAACAAATGATTCACTTAGGGTAAATAGCATAGTCCATGAGCTTTTTAAAGTACCCTCATATGTAGGCAGAGGAAAAAAGCCTAGACATAAATACACTAATGTGTAAATAGTAGTGACCACTGGATTATAAATCTATGGGTAATTTGTTTTTTAATGAGATTTGAGTTTTGTACAAAAGGAGACTGCTTGCAAAGAAATCATCTTTTCTTTCTTTTTTTTTTTTTTATTTAACACAACTTTAAAAATCACATATGGCCAATTTTATCTAAGAATATTTGTATTTTTATGGTAGATTTTGGATATTAGATGCTTTTTTTTTTTTTTTTTTTTTTTTTGGTAGCTGGCCAGTACGAGGATCTGTCTTTTTTTTTTATATAGATAGTATTATGCATCTGTAACTGATGTGTAAATTTATTCTCTCATGTGGAATGCTTTAAGTATCTCAATTCCCTGTACCCTAGACTTTGATTCTGCGTTTTTAAAAGCTTTACTGATCCATAATCTCTTTTATCTTTTTCAGACTTTCCTGTCTGTGCATATTTTAGCTATCACTTAACTGTATCATCTCCTGAATTGTTTATATTCTAAAAAATAGTTTTGTATTTATAAGTTTGCAATAGACTATATCCACTTGTTCTATGTGAAAGTTGTTTCCTCTTCCTTTTACTATTTGATACAGACATGTTTGTTTATCTTTATGTTACATAGACACTTATGTCCTAGATGGTGTGTAAGGAGAAGAATTGTTATTAACTTTGCTTTTTTTTCATGCTGTGAGGAACAATATACCTAATTGCTCTAAAGTTTCTTTCTAACATGTAACTTTAAAAAATATTTTTCCAGGGCCGGCCCGGTGGCGCACTGGATAGGTGCGCCGCTTGGGAAGCGCGGCGGCGCTCCCGCCCGAGGGTTCGGATCCCACATACAGACCGGTTCCCGCTCACTGGCTGAGCAAGGCGCGGGAGCAGCACCGAGGGTTGCAATCCCGTTGCCGGTCCCCGGTCCGGTACGGGGGCAACACTGAGGGTTGCGATCCGTTGCCGGACACGGAAAAAGATAAAAGACAAAAAAAAAAAAAAAAAAAAATTTTCCAGGTGTTCATTATACTCACTTTAAATTTGTTGTTTGATAAGGTCTAATAAATGTTTTAAAATCCTCATGGAAAAGAAAACGCATGAATATACAAGAGAAGGATTCAGTATCCAAGAAACATCCTAGGAGTGCTTCTAGGGTATAAACGTATGATCTCAGAATGTGAATGTTCCAAGATGAATTCTTTTATGTAATAAGAAATGTTTGTTAAATTATTTTTAACTGCATTTACTAAGTGCAAAGCACTTAAATTAGGGAAAACCATTTTAATGGAAAAAGTTATTAAGAAATTTAGATCAGAACTCTGATAAGTTAATCAGGTTTTGATCATTTGAAAGCTTTATTCAGAATTACCAGAAAGATTTCTTGCCTATTTAGATTAAAACAATTCCTGGCACAGGCTTTTCTCTAAGCTAGGCCAATCATTTGTGAAAGTGATTAACAAGATTTTCCTATATAAGCTTTGCCAAACATTGGTTTGGAACCACACCTGAAAAAATTTTTTTTATAATGTCTTTATTGAGATATAATTCACATGCCATAAAATTCACCCATTTAAAGTGTACAGTTAGTGGTTTTTAGTATATTGACAGAGTTGTGCAGTCAGCACAACTTTCTAATTCCAGAACATTTTTATTACCACCCAAATAAACTGCTGCCCGTTAGCAGTCACTCCCTATCCCTCACCGCCCAGCCCATGCAACCAATAATCTACATTCTGACTCTATGGATTTGCATTATTTTGGACATTTCATATAAATGGAATTATACAATATGTGATATTTTGTGTTTGGCTTCTTTCACCTAGCATATTTTTCTTTCAAGTTCTAAAAAGTCTTAAATGTTAGGATACCATCACATTGTACTCCTGTTCCATCTGTTAAAGAGATTGTCATTTAATAGGTAGAAACTAATATTGCAGAGTAAGCAATTTTGTATCCGTAGATCCAATTTTTCTTAGAATGCATTTAATATATAAATTGTAGGCTTCTCTTTAAAAATAAAATTTTATTTTTTTAATTCGGATACATTTACTCATACTCTAAACGGAAAGCTCCACCTCCCTGACCTGATGGAATTTGTTTACAGCAATCCAAAAAATACACTAATAATATTATACAAAGTTACAAAGATAAATATTTAGGATAATCATAATCTGGAAAGGGAGTGCTATATCCTATATCAGTCATTTAAATTTTTTCTTCTGTGAAACTATGAAGGCTTGATTGCAGCTAAAAGATTTGCTCCCAAGATAACTCACTCACATGAGTGGCAAGTTGGTGCTTTCTATTGGCAGAAGACCTGAGTTTCTCACCACATCAGGTATTCTATAGGACTATTTGAGTATCTTCACAACATGGCACCTGGCTTCCCCCAGGAGAGGGCAAGGTGGAAGTGATGACTGTTATGACTTATCCTCAGAAATCACATTCTCGTTTTCCCGATATGCTATTGGTTACACAGATTAGCCCTGTTTAGTGTGAGACTGGGTATGAGTAACCAGGATGAAAGAATCACTGAAGACCAGTTGGGAGGGTGGCAATCATAGGTTTATTCCCTTTTTACTTCTTTTCTATTAGTGAGATAGGGGATACAGATAGTTAACAGTTTGCTTTCTTTAACTGTAAATTCTATTTATAATTTTAGGTGATTGATTTGAAAGGAAAATGTCAACATGAGAAAACATGGTCCATATTAAAATGGACCCCGCTTATAGTAGTTTTGGGACTTGACATTTCCTTCATGGTTGTTCAGAGACCCTGGTCCTAAATTAATAGATTACGGCTTTTAAAAATACTACTTCACATTCAGCAAAGGAAAATAAGGCCCAGTTCCTCTTGTACCTTATGGAGGGCAAGAGAAGTAATGTGGGATGTTTGAAATCTTCAGCTCCCAAAACATTGTTTTTACTGGTTGCTTCATCTGTTGGATTTATCTATTTTGTTTGTTTTTGTTGTTGCTGTTGTTATTGACTTGATTGATTTCTTCCATGGTCATTTTATGGTACTTGTGAATATGGGAAATATTCATATAATTATAATATTCATATAATAATAATATTCATATAATATGGCCAGATGATGCTTTCATGCAAACTAATATACTATTACTTTTCTTTTTGAAAATATTAAAATGTGTTTCTCTGAGGGAAGAATAACTTAGAAATATAAGACATTTTGTTTTAGCCAGCAAAAAAAGGACCTCTTTTTTATGGTAAATTGCATATTTCCATAGCTAGGATTAAACTGTATTATTATTATTTTTTTCCTTTTTGTCTTTTTTCGTGACCGGTAATGGGTTTGCAACCCTCGGTGTCGCGCCCGCACTGCGCTCAACCAGTGAGCAGACCGGTCTCTATATGGGATCCAAACAAAGCGCCGCACTCTACCAAGTGCGCCACCAGGCCGGCCCTAAACTGTATTATTGACTTCTGCTTCTGAAGTAACATCTCAGCTCTAGTTAAATGTTGATCTTTTCTGAAACCTTTAAAAAAGTTTTTGGGAAGTTTATCGAAAAATTTGTTCTGTAAGATGTATTCTAAAATGAGAATTTAAACCAATATATATATATATATTTTTTTGTCTTTTTCCGTGTCCGGCAATGGATCGCAACCCTCAGTGTCGCCCCCGTACCGGACCGGGGACCGGCAACGGGATCGCAACCCTCGGTGTTGCTCCCGCGCCTCGCTCAGCCAGTGAGCAGGAACCGGTCTGTATGTGGGATCCGAACCCTCGGTGGGAGCGCCACCGCGCTTCCCAAGCGGCGCACTATAGCAGTGCACCACCGGGCCGGCCCTAAACCAATATTTTAATGAGTTGCTTTTTGCTTTAAAAATTTTAAGATTAATGATTTGAATAAGTGTTTCTGAGATGTCATTGTCTCTTAAGTATAGCTGATGATAGTGTTAGTTTATCATAGTTAAATATGATATATTTTCACAGCTGCAAGCCTATTTTAGGAGGCTTATTTAAACGATCACTTCAGCCAATCCAACAAATAAGCAAGGTAGACCAACAAATCAAAACTTGACTCTGGAATCTCTCGTTTTTGTATTTGTTCACTTCTTATTAGTATAAATTATTCTATGTAGAGACTTTAATTGGAGCCCCAGTTTTCTTCTTAGGATTTTTCTCTTTTAGTAAGAGTACGTGGATCCTATTTGTTTTGACAGTGGTACAAAATTTTAAAACTATTTATTTATAAAGAATTTTCATTCTAAGTTACTTTTTAAAACCTGTTAGGTTTTTTCTTTAACCTCAAAAGACTTTGTCTTTAGCATAACCTATGTTCCTTAAAATATGAGCGGAAATGTTACTTAAAGCAGAGACTATAGGAGTATAATGTCAGACATTGTCATCTCCATATACCTTTTTAAAAAAATTTTTTTACCTCTGGTTTAATAGACATATTTATACTATCTTAAATATTGCTGATGCTGAAACTTCTTATCCCTTAGCTCTTTGCATAAGGCTGTACAGTTCGGTGCTTAAGAGTATAAGCTGTGGAATAATATGCCAGGTTTTAAACTTTACCATTTAGTTGTGGGACTTGGGGCAAGTTCCTGCATCTAAATCTCTGTTTCTTCATCTGTAAAACATATATAACAATAGTACCTACTTTATGAGTTGTTTTAAGGATTAAATGAGATAATCAAAGAACCATCTAAACAAAGCATCTAAATCTCTGTTTCTTCATCTGTAAAACATATATAACAATAGTACCTACTTTATGAGTTGTTTTAAGGATTAAATGAGATAATCAAGTTAAAGCATTTAGCATGTAAAGTGCCAAATCCCAGCCGCATGTAAAGTGCCAAAACTGAAGCCTGGAGTAGTACGTCCGGAATAGTGGAGTAAAGCTATCCAAAAATCTTCACAAAAGTAACAAGAACACTGGCAAAAATTGTCAAAATCAAAATTTTCAGAACTCTGCAAATTGATAAAAGACTCGAAAAAATTCTAAGAACATTTATTCAAGAAAAATGGCTGAATCTCCATAAGAGCACTGAGTTTTGGATTTTTAATTCACTCTATTCCGATCTCCCTCTGCCCTGTAGTTTTGAAAAATCAGCAGTCTTGCAGCTATGGTAGCTGTGAAAACCAGCAGCGTGGCAGCCACTGGAAGGAATTTAATGGCCTTGGTGCTTCCCATAAACCCTATTCCTAGAGAATTGTCACTGTTTGGCCTGTATGGCAGCTCCCTCCAAAACTTGATTCTCAGTACTTGTCTTTATATCACCTGACTTAGAGCTCACTCTGTGCACAAAGTCCTGTTCCTGGTGCTTTTATAGAAAACAATCAGTGATGGTTGTTTACCATTGTAGCTGTCTGGGTGGCCATGCTAGTTGGGGCTAAAAAGAGGCTGACCAAAAAACTTAGAAGGAAAATCTGGGCATTGAAATGTTCAAAGGAGGCTTTGAAAAGCTCCAGCATATTCCTGGGATCTTAGAAGGCCACATGAAGTACAGGGCTGTGCACATACCCAGGAAAGACCTTAGAAGTCCCTTGTCTTTCACCTCTGGCTGACTTTGATGTTCTATGCAAGCAGGAAGTAAAAAATAAAGCAGATAAAGGAAAAGAAATAGATTAATTTAACTTTATTAAGACTAAAAACATTTGTGCTTCAAAGGATAACAACAAGAAAGTGAAAAGATAATAGAATGGGAGAAAATATTTGTAAACTATATATCTGATTAAAAGCATGTATTTAGAATATGTAAAGAACTCTCTCCTACAACTCAACAATAAATGGACAAATAACCCAATTTTAAAATGGGCAAAGGATTTTAATATATATCTTCTTTGGAAAAATATCTAAATGACCAGCCAATAAGCAAATGAATGTTTAACATCATTAGTCATTTGGGGATGCAAATCACTTCACATCCCCTAGGGTGGCTATAATCAAAAAGATGGACAGTAATAGTTCTTATCAAGGATAGGAAAAAATTTGAATCCTCATGCATTGGTGATGGTAATGGACAATGGGCAGCCACTTTGCAAAACAGTTTGGCGGTTCCTCAAAAGTAAAACATAGAGTTACCATCATATACCTTCCATTTTTAGTTATATTAACAGATAAAAACACTTATTTACACAAAAACTTGTACACAAATGTTCATAGCAGCCTTATTCACGATAGCCAAAAGGTGGAAACACCACACATGTCCATCAGTTGTGAGGAATAGGTAAATAAAATGTTGTATATCCATACAGTAAAATTTTATTCAGCCGTAAGAAAGAGTGAAGATACATGCTGCGTCATGGATGAACCTTGAAAACGTCATGCTAAATGACAGAGGCCAAATACAAAAGACCACATATTGCTTGATTCCATTTATACGAAATTTCAAGGGTAGGAAACTCCATGGATACTGAAAGTAGACTGAAAGGGACTAAGGAGAAAGGGGAATTGGGAGTGACTACTAATGGGTAGGGGGTTTCTTGTTGGGGTGAAAAAAATGTTCTGGTTGCACAACCCTGTGAGTATGCTAAAAACTACTGAATTGTACTCATATACTTTAAAAGGGTAAATTTTATGATATGTGAATTATATCTCAATAAAACTGTTATTAAAAAAACCCCAGAAGACAGCACAGAATACCATAAATGGATCACTTGGTATTGAAAAGTAAAATCTCTCCAGAGGTTTTTTAACTTAGCTGGCTATTCTATAGTGTTTGTAGTTGTTTTTTAATGAACTTTCAGAAGACTGGCAACCTATTTTTAGAGTTGTTATGCTAGCCACAAGCACATGACTTACACAAAGGTTAATCAAAGCTGTATATAATACCAAGTTCAATCCCTGTACTGGCCAGCCACCAAAAAACAAAAACAAACAAATAAATGAAAACTGCATGTAAGAAAAATTCTTTAGGGTAGCCAAATTGAACTTATCTCATTGTTTTTATAGAAAGTCTAGCTTCATTTACAATCATGAGTTATAATACTTTTTTTTTTTTTTTTCCCCTTTTTGTCTTTTTTCGTGACCGGCAACGGATCGCAACCCTCAGTGTCGCGCCCGTACCGGACCGGGACCGGCAACGGGACTGCAACCCTCGGTGTTGCTCCCACACCTCGCTCAGCCAGTGAGCGGCTGGTCTGTATGTGGGATCCGAACCCTCGGCGGGAGCACCGCCACACTTCCCAAGCGGCGCACTATAGCAGTGCGCCACCGGGCCGGCCCCGAGTTATAATACTTTTAAGTACTCTTTGGATGGTAAAATCTTTTTTTTTTTTTTTTTAATGCTTTCTCTTTAGTTATTCTTATTGGTGAATTGTAAGATACTGCTTTTCTGTGCATCCTATGGATTTAAATAATTGGATTCAAAATGAACTAAGCCTGTTACAAAGTTTTACTCTTTTTAATAACAGAATTTTGGGACCGACCCCATGGCGCACTCGGGAGAGCGCGGCGCTGGGAGCACAGTGGTGCTCCCGCCGCGGGTTTGGATCCTATATAGCGATGGCCGGTGCGCTCACTGGCTGAGCGCGGTGCGGCCAGTCACAAAAAAGACAAAAAAAAAAAAAACCCAAAAAACCAGAATTTTGGAATTAAATGAATTCAGATCTTATTAGCTGTAAAGTGTTATTGAATGATCTTTATGGGTTAGTCAAATTTAGTATATTTTGATATTAGTGAAATCCTACTTTCTTTCTTTTATAGTTTTTCCTCTTATGTCAGTGTAGTCTGTTTTAACCCACTGTATTCTTAGCTTGCAGAACACAGAGAAGTACGGCATGCCTACAGCCTGGAGTCTCTTTGCCACTGTCCTTTTTATGAAGAAGCCATGCATTTAGTTGAAGAAGGAAAAATTTACTCAAGAGTACTAAGGTACCATTTCAGTTTTGCTTATGTTGATGAAAAATATTAAGGTGTTGTTGCGTGTTTGTGTGATATTTATTAGATTTGTTCATGAGAATAAGGAAAAATACGTTTTTAGGTCCAAGTAAAAAAAATTTGTTTTTACATGTTCTGTAGTATTGAGGAGACATGTGTTTTATATTAAGGTCCTGAGGTTAAGCCTTGTTTGAGTCCAAATTTGTAGTAGGCTTGATCTTGAATGTAGTTTAACAATTGTCTTCCCTGTTTATTACATAGAACTGAAATGTTGGAGTGCCTAGGAGACAGTGATTTTCTTGCCAAACTTCACTGTGTTCGACAGGCTTTTCAGGTATTTTTTTTTAACATTAAGTGACTTCCTTCATCCGGCTCCTCACAACCCTCTTGCTATAGAGTCCAGTGCATGTAAATAGGACAGCTCCTTGCTCTTTATTATCCCTATCCCTCATGGCAAATATGAAGTCTACTAAGTTTGCTTTTTCCCCTGCTGTTGCCCTTCATTTGCCTCCATTTGCTATTGTCCTCTCCCATGCCTTCCCGGGTCCATCACACTGTCCAAACAGGATATTTTTTGGTGCTGTGGGTGTGTAAAAATGGCTACTTAAAATAAAAACCCTCTTTCTTACTATCAATTGGTGTGTATTCTAGATTTTTAAAATTTGAGTCAATTATGAATCATTCATTTTCTGAAAAAAAGATAAAGTCATGTAACAAAATATCTTTGTTTTCTTATGTTTTGGGGCTATATAAAATTTATTTTAGACTCTCTAATATTTAAACAGAATTTAAGTTCAAATTTATGTCCCTTTAATCTTTTCTTGATTATAGGTTTCAAGAGGTCTTTTTATTTTAGTAAATTAGGACTTTCTCTGTGGTCTGTCTGTTAAAATATCACCACATGCAATGCATTAACTGTATTAGGGTTATTTATGCATAGATGTGCTATACAGTTGGATGTCCATTTGAATTCATTATAGATCTCTTTTTTCTTTGTTTTGGAATGGATATTTTTTCAGGTAATTCTTTCAGAAACAGCCAACAGGATATTCCTTGCTGAGAGTGGAAGGAAAATTTTATCGGCTTTAATTCTGAAAGCACGAAAGGTAAAGTTTTGTTGGCAAGTTTTTGTTTCTTTTGAACTGAAAATTAAAATACATTAAATTTTTAATAGAAGAAAAAGTTTTTGTAGATAATTGCAAAGGTTCACATATTAAAAGTAACCTGAGGAACATCAGTTTCTACTTGGGTTGAGTTTTCTTTTTTCCTTTTTTAAATTTTAAATTGATAGATAACTTTGTACATTCTTATTTTGTACAACATGATGTTTTGGTGTACGTATACATTATGGAATGGTAAAATCCAGCTAAATAGAGTTGAGTTATTTTCTGTGTATAAAGTCCACACCATTTTGTCCAAGTTGTTTCTCATAAATTATTGCCAAATTTCTACAAAGTCTGTGGATGCCATGGTGGGAATCATCATTATTAGATCTGCTACTATAACCACCACTATTCTTATGACTAATAACACCTTTCTTACCTCCTTCAATCCTGTTCAGGAAGAGGCTTATAGGAAATAGTGTAGATATCAGAAATCTGGAATACAAATTCAGCTGCCTCTTACTGTAACTCATCTTCATGGGACTGAATGAGGCAGAAGCAATGACAGGAATTTCATTCAGACTGTAGGGAACCACTTCATGCAAGGTTTATCCAGTTGATGAGAAAACATCAGCAGAACACAGGCCACCTTTGAGCCATTTGCACATCTGGTTTTCAAACCCAATCCCTTTGAACCTCAATTCCCTCATTTGTATAACAGAATTATATTTATGTTACCCTATTTCAGAGGGCTGTTATGATGATTAAATAAATGATAAATGGAAAACAACTTAAAAATAAAGTACTAAGTAAATGTAAGGTGATATTAACTACTCGTGATTCTCAGTGTGAATCTATGTTGCTCTCTTGGTCTTCCCATGGTAGATAAACCCTTCCTCCAAAAGGAACAGAACTGCATCAGAAGAATCACATAGTGTCTACTATAACCAAGTTTTCATCTTAAGGACTGACCTAACTAAATAGGCAGACATATTTGAGTAGTAAACAGTTTGCTTATGACATTTTACTAACATTCTTAGTCTTGGCATCTGAAAAATATTAGAACAACAAAATAGTAAACCAAATAAACTTGGCATGTAGAATTAAGATCTAACAGACTTACTTGAAGAGTAACTTATTTACCTGGTAGGCTTGAGCCTTGTAATAAAGTTGAGTTTAGGATAAAAATGGATTTTCTTCTGCAGAATCCAAAGAAGTTTGAAGACGTTTTTGATGAAATGATCTATTTTTTAGAGCAGACTGATCACTGGGATAGTACTGAAATGGAACTTGCTGCTAGAGGGGTAAGTTCAAATTTTTTATCATATTTATTCCCCTTAGTTATTTGCACATAATATTTACATGAGTTGAGGCCACTGTTTCCTTATCCTTTTTAAATGGCAGTAAAACCAATTGTGTGGTGGTGAGACAACATCATTCTTCTGATAGAGTCATGAACAATAGCAGCCATAGTCTTTATACATTGGGGCAATAGTCATAAATAATGTTTTTTAAAAAGCTTTCCTTTCCATTGTTGGCTTCTTCCCTACCTCCCTCCTTTTCTTTCCTTCCTTCCTTCCACCCATCCAAAAGGCAGGCCCTAGCAGGCGGTAATGGTGGCCTATGTAAGGATGGTTTCGGATGGGACATCAGAGGCAGCTCAGTGGGAGGACTGGCTGCATACTTAGGATTGAACAAATAAATATACTGAGAAAAATCAGAGCCAAGTTCTCACTATTAGAGAAGTGAGGTATGAAAAACTAGGATTAAAATTGGAGTTGTCAGCATGAATCCATAGTTTATAATATACATATGAGGATGCTTCAAAAAGTTTGTGTAAAAATAGAATGAAAGGATAATATGAATTTTCTCACAAGCTTTTTGAAGTATCCTCGTATGTATAGATATAGCAATAGATATAGATACAAAGGTTTGCGTGTACATAAACTTACATACACTTCATACCTCTGTTTACTGAAAGGGTCTGGGAGCAGCAACAACTCAAAAGAAATTGTTCTCAGCACACAGATCTTGGCTTCTAATTACCACTCTCCACTAAATAAGTAGGAGTCCTTGGAAGAATGGCTTATTTCAACACTGGGGTGGGAAAAGTATATGAGCCTGGAGCTTCTTGTCATAATGGAGGCTTACAGAATGAATTTATAAGGAGCTAAAAGGCATTGCAGGCAGAGAAAACAGTAGATAAAAATACATGGAGGCATAATCTTTCCTCTAGAGTTCTTTCACTCAGTGAATAGAATCAGCATCCATTCAGTTTCACGGGCCAGAAACGTGGAACTCATCCGTCATCCCTCCCTCATCCTCACCCACTTTATCATATTCATCTCTAAGTTTTGTCAATTTTAACCCCTAAATATTTTTCAATTTCTTCAACTTCTCTCTGTTCCTGCCATCCCCGTCTTGGCCTAAGTACCTATTGTCTTTTCCCTGGTCTACCTCTGCAGTCTTTGTACTCCTTGATTCCCTGCTCACTCCTCCTCTCCCCGCAGTCACTCTTTCCTTTCTTAATTCCACTCTCCACACTGCTGACAAAATGATCTTTAAAATATGTAAGTCATCTCCCTTCCATCATCACCAGCCCACTCCCCCACACCAAAATACTGTGAAAACAAAATAAAAAATCCTTAACATGGGCCATAAATCCATACAGGATCTGGCCCTTCCTTCTTGTCTACCCACTCTCCCCTGTGCTTTCTGCCATAGAGAGCTACAGAACTCTTTCAATTATTTCTTTCAGTTCAACACCACTATATTCCTTCTTACCTTAAAGCCTCTGACAAGTATTGCCTGTACCTGGGATTCTTCACTCCCTGATGGAAGCTGTCTCTGATGTCCAGCTTAAGATCAGAATCTCTGTCATAAGCTCTCAGAGCTCCATGTACTTTTTCCTTTACTGTGCTTATCACAGTTTGTAATTGGATATTTGTGGGATTATTTTGTTGTTGTCTATTTTCCCAGCTAGACTCTAGGCATCTAGTTTGTTTACCGTAGAATCTCATGTTGTACAATATAATGTAGATGAATGAATAAAAGAGCAAGAGGTTCATGACCTGGTGGGGAAGACTGGCAGATATACCAGTAACTAAATGACAAAGCAGAATGAGCATTGTGGATGCTAGAATAGAAGCATAAGCAAAGGAGTCCTGGAATAGAGAGGTGGGAAAGGTCAATTTCACTTGATGGGGTCTAGTAAGGAGGAGCTACCATGTGAATTGTAATTTCTGGTGGCAAGTTTTCATATTTTTCTCTTTTCATCTTTTTAATCTTTTTTGATTAATCTGAGTCAGTCAACTCAAAAAAACACAATGTTATAAAGCATTGGGTTAGATTTTATTTCAGCTCATGTAATAATAATTTGTTTTAACTCATAATTTAATGCAGGTTAAAAATCTAAATTTTTATGATGTTGTTCTGGATTTTATATTGATGGATTCCTTTGAAGATTTAGAAAATCCACCCACATCCATACAGAATGTAGTAAATAATCGCTGGCTCAACTCTTCCTTCAAAGAAACCGTAAGTGGTGGTTTACTTTTCTCAGCCCTTTAAATTTGATGAAAAATGGTCAGAACTGAAAAGACTAATAAAATTTACATACACATTTGCCTGTGGAATGGTGTGTGGAAACTGAGCTCATCGTTTGATATTGGGATCAGACATGTATAGTACAATACCTTCAGGTGAAATTCTTTTTTAATATTTCTTCAGGCCTCTAAAGAAACTCAGGCTTCAGACTAGTTCAGGCCTAACAAAAAATTGTCTGTAACTGAAATGGTCAAATGACTAAACTGAAGTATAGCAGCTATAGTTTAAAAAAAAAAAAAAAGAGTGACAGTATATATCTATATATTTTATATCTTTCTAGCCATATATTTTTAAGAACTAAGTACAAAAATTCATGTTCCCAAATAGTATTAAAAAATAGGCATGTGCAAAAATAAAACAGGTTTAAACTATATTCTATATTATGAATGTTTTCAGTTTCTGTTGTTTTTCTATATTCAAATCTCTGAAATTGGTTTTTGTTGGGCTTTAAGTGTGCACCTGCAAATAAGATGGGGTGGTTATCATGTTTCATGATGAAGTTTGAATGCCTTTATGAAATGTCCTAATTGGCAGTTTCACAATTATTTTGGAACTTCCTGATTTTAAATTTTAAAGCAGGAAGGGGGGATGGGGAGAGGGTGGTCAATTTTTCTCTACAAAATTGTAGAGAAATAGGAAAAATAAGATCTAGTGTTCTATAGCAATGTAGGGAGACTACAGTCAACAACAAATTATTGTATAAATTCAATTGAAGTAGCTAGTTGAGAGGATGTTGAATGTTCACAACACAAAGAGGTGACAAATGTTTGAGGAGACGGATGTGCTAAATACCCAGACGTGATCATTGCATGCTATATATATATGTACCCAAATATCACATTCTACTCCATAAAATATATACAATTATCATGTGTCAGTTAAGAAAAAAGAAAAAGAAAAAAAAAATTTCAGAGACAGAAGTAGATTAAAGATTATCAGAAACTCAGGGGAAGAAATAATAAGTTATTACTTAATGGGTACAGTTTATGTTTAGGATAATGAAAAAGTTTTGGAAATAGATGGAGGTAGTGATTATACAGCATTGTGAATGTAATTAATTCCACACAATTGTATGTTTAAAAATGCTTAAAATGGCAGTCCTTGTGTTACATGCATTTTACTACAATTTTAAAAAGTGGGGAAAAAACACAAATTTTAAAGCATTTTTAATAAATCCATTTCCCCCCCGCAATTAAAGTATGCTTTAATGATAAAAATACATATTCTTAATTTCTGTAACTGGTTTGGTAAAGTGGCCTTGATCAAAGCTGGGTCGTGCCAGAATTGGGTCAGATTTCTTCATGATCAGCTGGGTGCTTTTGTCCTATCATGGTTGTATTTCTTAATTCTTTTCTTGAATAAAACTGTTAGCTGTACCCACAAATACTCTAGCAGTATTATTCTGAAAGAACAATATATATTACTTTGCATTCATTATTACAGTAGATAATTTATTTGCGTATGTACATCTGTATACACATATTTTCACTTTTTCTCTCCTTAGGAATGGAACTTAAGAACACTGAGAATTGAATTGTAATTACCAAGCTCCTTGGTACCAGAGTTCAGCCTTTTTCCTTCAGTGGCTTTGTATTTAATTTTAAAAATTATAAAAATGAAATACCTTTTCATTAATATTCATAAACAGTATAAGGACCCTGGACTAGTTCTTGTTAGTAGTCAATGTTTTCAACTTTTTAGACACATAAACTTTGAATTTTTAATAAAAATCATTCTTTTCTAAATGGAATCATTTATATGCCTATAAATTTAAATCTTGCTTTTCTCCTGTGCATATATTTAGGCTGTGGCTTCAAGTTGTTGGTCAGTTCTGAAACAGAAAAGGCAACAGATGAAGGTGAAGTTCATTATGCCCTGGACTCCTTTGTTAAATAATTTAAGGATCCCGTCAAAGAAACGTTCTGAGTCAGTTTGCATGTGGGAATGGCAACTGATAAGAGGGATTGTTCCTCAAGCTAGATGAGTGACTTATTGGTACTGGGTTGGCTTCTTTTTTGAATGTCTTCTCCCTCTTCCTTAATATTCTGTATAGTTCAATATAGCAAGTATTGAGGCATACATGGGATTTCAACTAAGTGGGAGAGGGTTTATGGTTGGAAACAGCTCTGATATTTAAAAAAAATTGGTTAGTGGATTCCACATCATGTAATCCAATTGAGAAGTAATGACTTGACTTTAATAGCTGCTTTGTTCAATTTGGAGCCCCTACTGAAAAAGTCTCAAAGTTTATATCCTGCCTCCATGCTCCACACCCCCTAGCCCATGTCACCCACTAAGCATTGCTGTCATCATATACTCCTTTTATTTACTTACTTACTTATTATTTATTTATTTATCTTTTATACATGTGGGGAACAACATTGATTTTCAAAAAAATATGGAACACTTAACAAATTTGCATGTCATCCTTGCACAGGGGCCATGCTATTCTTCTCTGTATCATTCCAATTTTAGTATATGTGCGGCCAAAGCAAGCACTATTATGTTTTTAAAATCAAGGTTTAGAAGATTGTCTTAGAGACTGTAAAAATAGAAAATAACTCCTCCAAGAGACAGAATCTTAAGGCATAGTTATCCCCAGTTGATGCTATATGACAAATCCCACAGGATGTTATTATTTAGCAAGGGAAATTCAGAAAGTTGTTAATAAACTTAGAGTTTCCTAAACACAAGTATGTATACTAATATTTCATAAGAAGAGGCAATTATACAATTAAATGCTTAAATAATACTGGGTTCCTTAACTAAAGTTTAGGATTCTAGTAAGAATAATTTAGTGCTTAATTTTATTTTTAAATCATTTTAGGCCTTTTCAGTTTGTACAGTTAAGAAATTGAGTAGAGGGGCCAGCCCAGTGGCGCACTGCATAAGTGCGCCGCTTGGGAAGCGCGGCGGCGCTCCTGCCCGAGGGTTTGGATCCCACATACAGACCGGTTCCCGCTCACTGGCTGAGCGAGGTGCGGGAGCAACACCGAGGGTTGCGATCCCGTTGCCGGTCCCCGGTCCGGTACGGGGGCAACACTGAGGGTTGCGATCCGTTGCCGGACACGGAAAAAGACAAAAGACAAAAAAAAAAAAAAGAAAGAAATTGAGTAGAGCTTTTAAATATCTGAAACCATGGTAGTCTTAATAATCCTAAAACTGAATACGGCTAAGGAGCACTGTAGCATTTTTGTTATTGTTGGTTATAATGCTGATATGATTTCTTTTTTTATGAGCTGAAAATGCCTTTTAAGAAATAATGTTTCTGCCAGCTGCCAAAGAATGAAAGAAATAATGTTTCTCAGCACATCTGAAACTATTGGCTAGGATATGAAATCTATGTAAAACATTCTGTGGCTCTAAAAGTTACTTGTAAGTGTATTAACTTTCTTAATAGTCTGGCTCATATTTGACCCTTGGTCTGCCTTCAAAAAGAGCTGGTTATAATAATAGATAGCAATTTCAGTTTCTCTACTAGGGAAAGCAAATACAGAAAGGTAAAAATAACTTGATTCTCCTTTATTTCCCAACAGATCCCAGATGGATTTTTTGCCCATTTTTATGCTATTTGTGAGCACATCAGCCCAGTTCTAGCCTGGGGCTTTTTGGGTCCTAGAAATTCTCTCTATGATTTATGTTGCTTTTTTAAGGTATGTTCAGTCATTGAATTATTTTCTAAATCAAAAAGTGGATAAGGTTTTATTTTGTTTTGTTTTTGCTTTTGTAGAAGAAAGAATGTTATTTTAAAAATATAAAGTTATAAAAATCATCTATATTTAGTGTTTAAATGCCAGTATTATATTAGTGGCATTTTTAAATACCACTATTATTAGAGTGGACCAATATTTTATAGATTTGGTGTTTTATTCTGGAATAGACTCAAGTCCATTCACCTTATCATTTCCTTCTGCAATGGATATATGGTCTTGCATGGTGTTGCCATGTTACAATCAAATTAATGTGGATGGTTTATTCATCATACATGGGCACTTTTGAAATTTATAAACAAACAGGATATGTCTTTATTACACATGTGGTAATATAGAATAAGTTCTAGTTCAAGATAATATGAATAATAAAATCCAAGTTGTGAGAAATAACATGGGAGTTTAAAGTTGTAGGGCCGGCCTGGTGGCGCACTGCTACAGTGTGCCGCTTGGGAGCGTGGCTGCGCTCCCGCCGAGGGTTCGGATCCCACATACAGACCGGTTCCCGCTCACTGGCTGAGCGAGGTGCGGGCGCGACACTGAGGGTTGCGATCCCGTTGCCGGTCCCGGTCCGGTACGGGCGCGATACTAAGGGTTGCGATCCGTTGCCGGACACGAAAAAAAAAAAGACAAAAAAAAAAAAAAAAAAGTTGTATACCAATGTCAACAGTTTAAGTTTGCCAAAGCACAAGGTGCAGCTTGTTGCAGAATTTTCTGGCCCGAAAAGTGCTGAGGAAAGTCTCTCTATTTAATAGTCTTGAGTTTAGGCCAAGTTTCAAGGAGCAAATAAAAGTAAACATAATCAAGTATGAATTCAGAAATTTTGGATGTTTGAATATTTGGATGTTTCACTTTACTGTTCATTTTTATTTTTATTTTTATTTATTTATTTATTTATTTATTTATTTATGTCTTTTTTTGAGACTGGCCGCACTGCGCTCAGCCAGTGAGCGCTGTGAGCGCACCGGTCATCCCTATATAGGATCCGAACCCATGGCGGGAGCGCTGCTGCGCTCCCAGCGCTGCACTCTCCCGAGTGCGCCACAGGCTCGGCCCTACTGTTCATTTTAAAAAATTATTGTGTATATGTGCAGTTAATGTAATATTTGTGCAAATGGTTTAGGAAATGTTTATTTTATTGTCATTCAGAACTCCTTGATTTTTGACTTATTTACTTGGCCTCCCAAATGTAAGGTGCATGTTTTAGAGGAAAAAATAGGGGCTGTGAATTAAATCTGTCATTTATGACAGTCTAACTTGGAAATTATTCTTTGGTCCTCCTTTTCTTCATCTATAAAGTGAAGGGACTTGACAGGTTGATTGCTAATGACCCCTCTAGCTATAAAATCCAGTAAATCTATAAAGTGTGCCTTCTTAGCACTTCTTAACATTTTGTTTCTGGAGGATAGAAATTAAATATTCCTGTTTTTTACTGTTACTTTTTTTCCATCATGATGTAACAGCTGAAACTTACTTAGTATACAACTTGCTTAAAATGAGTTTCAACATAAGTATTAACTTACTGAAATGAAATATCCTTTAAGATGTTCCACTAATTTAAGACCTGAAATTATTTTTATTTTTCATGTGTCTTAAGGTTTTTGTTGTACAGAAGAATGTACATTTAAAATTATAATACACGATTATTGGAAATAGTTTATTCTTTTGTCTTAAAGTGGTATCAATGCTCAGAGGTAACATTTGAAGGAAAAGAACTAATAACTAGCCCTTATTGTTGGGCCTTAAAAACTAACGCCACCTTAAGTGACATTACAAGCGGCGCCATTATGGGCCCACAAGGGCGTATTAATGTGGCAGCCTAAGACGGCGCTGGGAGGAAGTAGGGTGGGGGTGTCTGCGGGAACCTTGCCTTACCCATTATTGGCCAAATACACGCTTCCGCGCTCAAGGTTGCAATAGCCAGGCATTGAGACAGGATGCATGCTCTCTTGACCTTTAAGCTGATAAGATTATGTAAAAAACCGCTTCCGCGCTCAAGGTTGCAATAGCGAGGCATTGAGACAGGATGCATGCTCTCTTGACCTTTAAGCTGATAAGATTATGTAAAAAACCTCCCCTCCCTATCTGCCTATAAAAGCAAGTGCTTGTGTGATAATAAATGGAACTGCCTCTACAGAACCCCCGCCACGTCTGAGTGTCCTTTAACTGGGCTGTTGGGGCCGGTGGTGTGCTCACCTCTCTTCACGGCTCTCTGCCCCCGTCTCCTTCCAAAGGGGACTGAAGGGAAAGAGTAATCCGGGCTGTTCGCTCGCTCACCAGAAGGAACGAGGCTAGGGCTGTTTGGGTTGGCTGACCTTATAATTATAGGCACATCTTATAGATTATCTTTTCTGATCATCACATTAGCCCTGATATTATCCCTTATTTTACAGAAAAAGAAAATGAGACCCAAAAAGGTTATATCACTTGTTCAAGTCCCTTTTCCAAAGAGATATGAAACTAGCATTGGAACTTAGGTCTAATGACTCCTTATTCAGTGCTCATTACAATATTAGTAATTCTTTACATTTAATGTAGTTTTGGTCTAATAAACACCAATTTGTTTTGTGTTCATTTTCCAGAATCAAGTTCTTTTCTTTCTCAAAGACATTTTTGACTTTGAGAAGGTGCGCTATTCAAGTATAGAAACTTTGGCCGAAGACCTCATGCAAATACTCATTCGCCGCACTGATCTTTTAATGGCCTATCTTGGAGCAGATGCCCTGAGGCATGCAAGTAGTTGTATAAGTGGTCATGATCATGTTATGTCCAGTGGTTTACTAGAAGCCAAAGTACAATAAGTACCGTAAGAATCATACAGTTTGTATGGCTGGCCAGTTAGCTCACTTGGTTAGAGCATGGTGTTATAACACCAAGGTCAAGGGTTTGGATCCCCATATTGGCCAGCCACCAAAAAAAAGAGAATTGTACAATTTGAGTGTGCTATGAAATATTTTAAGGTTGATTTTGTAACAAATATTACAAAGTCAACAGAATTGGTAGATATGGACTCAGGGAGGAAAAAAATCTAATAAAGAATGAGTGACTATATTGTACTTACACAGACGTTCTGTCATAGTGTATTCGAAGCAGCTTTTTACAATATTTAGGTAATAATTTGAGTTGTGAAATGTGTATTTTACAGGAATACTGCTTGAATTGAGCCAGTACTTAGGAGTTAATTTGTTGTCTTGAAGTTGTCTGAAATGTCCAGTATCATTCTCAAAAGTTCTGTTGTTATGCTTTGTACTGCAATATATACACTTTAGCCAAGACCTTTGTAGCCCACCCACACTTGTAAAAATATATTACTCCTAGTGTCAACATATTTAACTTTGCCTGAAAATGTATTTTTAATTGTGAAATTATTCATTTGTTTAATCAAGTTTAGGCAGTAGTGGTGTTAATATGTACTGCTTACATTATTGCTTGTGCATTTGCTTATGTATTTGAATCAAAGAAATTGTAATCACTGAAGAATATTATAAAACATTTAAATGAACTGACACTGAGAAGTTTACAATTTGCAACTTTATATTAGATTAACTGTAGTTTCCAAAATATGTTACTGTTAGTCCCATCAGTTACAACAGAGAGACTGGAAAACTTTTTTTTTATATTTTTATAGATTACAACAATTTTCCCTTGAATGAATATTGATTAAAAATATTATATTTATTAACCAGGAAAGGCAATTAATGGTTTACCTTTTTTACTGTAATTTTGAGACTGTCTCCCATCATCTGAAGGTATTGAACTTAGAAGAGTAAAACGATTTCTCCTTTCTTCTTCTACAAATTGGCTTTTAGTTATTTCCACAGAGATCTCAACACATTGAGAATTTGTCATATTATGCCCATATTTTTAAAAATATTCATACTTTTAGGGCTGGCCAGTTAGTTCAGTTGGTTGGAGCATGATGCTGATAACACCAAGGTCCAGGGTTCAATCTCTGGACCAGCTGCTAGGAAAAAAAAATGTGAAAGGTAAAGTATTCCTACTTTGAATCTTAGTGAGATTATAAAGAAGGTTTTTTTTTTTCCTCCCATGAATATAGAACAAAAATATTTTTAATGATATGGAAGTATATTTCATGTCTTTTATGATAAATAATATGAACAAACGTGTTGTTCTTAGGAGTGAGGTTCTTTAGAGAATTTTTGTTTCTAAATCATATACCACTTATCTGGAGTGGCTGGCTCGGTATATCAGTGGATTAAATTTGTTTATTTTTCTTCTAAAGTGGCTTTATTCACTTTAGGAGTGAATTATACAGAAGGACCTAAAGTGTGTTTTTTAAAAATGCATTTTTAGATTAAAGTGCCTAGTTTCTGATTAATGAATAGAAAATGAAAATTTTTAAAAAGTATAATCATTTCAGATTTTAAATTTATGTATGTGCCACATTTATGTAAGTTAATTACAAAATATGAAATTCAAAATCTTTATGCTGTTTTGCATGTACTGTGTAGATTATAGCATTAAACATACAAAATATTGGTCTAATAGTTTTTGGCTATATAGCTCCTTGACTTTTTTTTTTGTCCTTTTTGTGTCCGGCTGCACCGCGCTCAGCCAGTGAGCGCACCGGCCATCCCTATATAGGATCCGAACCCGCAGCGCCGCACTCTCCCGAGTGTGCCCTGGGCTCAGCCCACTCCTTGACTTTTCTTCCTTAAATTCTTAATTTAATAGTTACCTGCTCATGATTCTTCCGCACTCTCCCGAGTGTGCCCTGGGCTCGGCCCACTCCTTGACTTTTCTTCCTTAAATTCTTAATTTAATAGTTACCTGCTCATGATTCTTTTTACTGAAGGAGGAGTATGAATAGAAGTATCAAAACTAAAAATTCCATTATGTAATGTTTTATTTAATATTATGTTTTTACCTTGTTGAGGTATCACTGGCCTTGAACAATACACACACATACATGTGTGCATGCACACACATTCCCATTACCATGTAGGCATGACAGTTATTATTATATTAATTTACCCATTTGAGGGCTAAATGTTTTAAGCCATGGTTTTGTAAATAAAGCTATAAGTAAACTTACTTTTTTATTTGAAAAAGATATTGTTTGAAATCGATTTTCAAGAATTGCACTATTTAATAATGCTGCTAATACATAAGATAACTCTGGGGAATTGACTTCATCAGATAATATGAATGTCTTTCTAGAAGGCGTTTTTTTCCTCTTTTATATTTCATCTTTTTTTAAAAAGTCGTCTGTATTCAGGAGATTGGTTTGTCAAATTCACTGCTTGAGTTTGATTAATTTCTGGACAGTTCAGTAGCTGCTACTTTAGCAAGATGTGTTTTTTGTGGCCTTTGACTAAAGGGATAAGAGTGCCCAAATAGAATTTCACGGCAATAGGTGTAGGAAAAAATTCTCTATTGTAAGGGAAAAAACTTGACCTTTTCAGAGGAAACGTTCTTCTAAAAAGAACATTTCTGACTGCAGAAGGGTAGTTAAGACATACGTACATACCAGTTTCCATTTGCCTTAAAATTGGGTTAAACAGCAAAAGCAATGTTTTAAAAAAATAAAAAATGATTTAACTAGTATAGAACCTTTTAGGATAAAACCCTGCTTAACACTTATTCATGATAATATTATCAGATAATTTCCATTGCCACTGTGAGTCCTACTATCCACTTTTAAGTTATAAGAAGGCCTTGAATTAGTCCTGAGAAAATGTCTTTTTTCCTTCCTCTTTTCTGGAAAAAAAAAGATAAATGTTCAGGTGATTTATATTTGGTATTTCTTTTTTCTTTTGGTATTTCTTTTTTCTGTTTTCTATTTTTGTTTCTCTACGTTTTGGTTCAACTAAAAGTGTAGTGATTTCTTCTCAAAGTTAACAGTATGTTTATTAAATGTCAAAATGGAATTCTCTTTTTAAAAAGAAGCCAAATTTTCCATACTATTATAGTCAGCTGCAAAGGACTTTCTCTTTCTCAAAAAATAGTATTCTTTATTTGCATCCATTTATTGTGATTCTATTAATTTGTTAAATTAACTGAACTTATACAAAATATTTAATGTATTTCTCTATGACCTTTCATAATCAGAAACTTTAAATTATGTTTATAACCCATCTGCTTTTATTTTAATGTGAACATGTATTCAGAAATTATTTTATGTAAATTTCAAAGTGATTATAAGAATTAGTCTGAATTCATTTTTTGCTTGTATTATATTAAAAATATGCATGTGAGATTTAAGAATTTCTATAATCTGTGATTAATGTTCCTAATGATTATATTATGTTATTGTTTTGTTTAGTTTAAGAACAACCATATATTAACTTCATTTGATTGATATCAATTAATGTTTCTATTTTCTGAATATAAGGACTGTACTTATGAATTTGTGTAAAAGTAAAACACTGCAGTAGCCATAACACTACAGTGACTATAGCACTGGCTCTATAGCCAAAGTAACACGGATGTATTTATACTATTGCCAAATAAAAACATGATGGTACATCTTGCTGATGTATTGAATATTTTAAACATAGTTTATGTATAATTGTGAAGTCATACTTGTCTCATCAGACCCTACAATATGAGAGCTTTCTGTATCCATAAGACCACATAAATTGACATAGAGAACACAGAATCACTGGAATCGAATATAGAAGTTTATGTACTGACATGGGAAAAAGACAGTTTTGTGATGAATAAAGTAAAAATACTTGCATTTTAATTAAAGTGTTTCGATGAATAATGCCATCAGCATAGTATAAATTGATCTTATTGATGCCTCCATTCCTATTCAGACGTGATCTGAACCTCTTTTCTTTTTTTTTTTTCTTTTTCTGTCTTTTTTACTGACTGGTAACGGGATCGCAACCCTTGGTGTCGCGCCCGTACCGGGGACTGGCAACGGGATTGCAACCCTCGGTGTTGCGCCCGCACCACGCTCAGCCAGTGAGCGGGAACCGGTCTCCACATGGGATCCGAACCCTCGGCGGGAGGGCCGCCGCGCTCCCAACGGCGCACTCTCCAGTGCACCACCGGGCCAGCCCTGAACCTCTTTTCTGATAAGGGTTCAGATGCATTTAGTCAAAGAGAGGGATACAGCCTGGACACTTCCATAATTACCAGATGGCAGAAAGAGTTCACCTGAATATCAAAAGTGTTCTTAATTTGGGACTGTTAATAAATGGGTTTACTTTAGTATAATTATGTATGCTATAAATAAATGTATATAGTTATATTTTTAAATTATTAAATTAAACATATAAAGTGAAGTACAAGTACATTACTTAATAAGCAAACCATACAAACCTAAGTTGAATCTTTTCCTAAGTAGGATATACGGCTGTAGTGAAATGGGAAACCAGATCAGCATCTCAATCTCATTTTATGTTTTCTTTGTCATTATCTGCCATACTCTTTGTTGTCTCTTGCATCCTTTTTGATCCGACTATCTGAACTTAATGTTTTGCCCTTTAAACATCTCTCTCTCTCTGAATTTTTAGGTATGTTTAAAATGGGCCGCAAGCATCTCAGCGTCCTACTCTTATGCTATTTGTAGGGCTTTGCTTGGAAATCTTTATAAACTCTCTTTGTTTATTCACTATCTTCCTTACTGTTCTTATGCTGCTTTTGACTTCTGTTTTTTCTGCAGTGTTTCGTTCTATACCCTATATTCGCTGATACTTTACCCTGCCAATTCTTCTCCCTTGATATCTTTCTCTCTTTGTGCTACTGACATCTTTGATCAGCCTGCACAAGCTCTTTTGTCTGCTGCGTTTCTTTCTTTGGCTTTTTCTACATCCAAACAGTGGAAACCCAACAGTAACCTTCATCATCTGGGCAGAAAAAGACTGGATTCCAGTTCAGAAAGAACAAAAGAGCTAACCTTCCTTCTATGATACTTTCTACTCTTTACTTAAAAGCCACAGCAAAGCAACTGGTATATCAAATACCACCTCAACATTTTGCTTTTAACTGTGTCTTATGTGTGTTTCATAGAAGCCTTTCAAAAAGTACATTTATATATAGGAAATCACAGAACTTTTATAATTTGCTATGTTTGAAATAACGCCATAGTATTTTAATATAGAGAAGCACCATAGTGCTTTGAAAGCATTTGAAATATATGACTTCCAGAACTTTGCTAATTCTTATTTAATAATATTCTATGTGAAAGAATGGGCCCAGGAACCTAAAAAAAAACCAAGTACTTGGTGTGGTAGAAGATGGATAATATAAAAAGTAGGTTAAAGCAAATTTATTCATTATCTATTGCTGCATAATAAATTATCCCAAAATTTAGCAGCTTGAAACAACAAATGTTATTTCACACAGTTTCTGAGGGTTGGGAATCTAGGAATGGCTTAGTCTGGTTGTTCTGATTTAGGGTCTCTACTGAGATTGCAGTCTACTGAAGGCCTGATTAGGACTGGAAGATTTGCTTACAAGATTTGCTCACTCACATGTCTTTGTCAGGAGGCCTCAGTCCCTAGCTGGCTGTTGGCAAGAGACCTTAGTTCCTACCAACTGGGCTTCTCAACAGGACTGCCTGAGTATCTTTAAGACTTGGCAGCTGACTTCCCTCACGTGAGTAATCCAAGAGATAACAAGGCAAAAGACACAATATCTTTTATAACCTAGAGTTGGAAGTGATATCACTTCTGCCGTATTCTATTGGTCATAGGGACCAACCCTGATGCAATGTGAGGAAGACTACATAGAGTGTGAATACCAGGATGCGGCATCACTTGGGGTCATCTTGGTGCCTGGATACCACAGCAGGGAATCAAAATTATACATAGAAAATGTAGATATTTTAATTTAAATGAATAAGTGTACGTAATCTGGCTAATCTTTTGATATAGCATCAAGGCCTTTGGTTGGAGTATGGATTAACTTGATATTCCGAGATATCTTTGTTACATAAACTATACCCTGAAATCATCATTTGGGATTTCAAGTTTCCCTTATTTTTAAAGGAGATAAAACTAAAAAACTTAGACACATAAAAAGGAATGAATGCAAAATATCTTAGATTTTTATAATTTGGGGGGTGAGAAGGGTGGCTGGCCAGTACAGGAATTGAACCCTGGATCTTGGTGTTACCAGCACCATGCTCTAACCAACTGAGGTAATTGGCCAGCCCCAATTTTTATAACTTTGTACCCAATCATTTACAATTATCTTCCCAACGCCTAGGTTGTCTTTTCAAAGCATTCAACTTAGCTTTTATAAAAACTATAACTTTCTCTTTGCTTTTATATTTCTTCATTTTTGTAATGCTTATATAATTTCGAAAACATGCAACTGATATAATTAAGTTTGAGAACAAAGCCAAGTGAACCATGATGAATATACAAGGAATGTTTATAAAAATCGGCAAATCTTGGATTTCTAGTAATCTTCTCAAATTTAGCATGTCAAAACTGAGCTCCTGACCACCCCTGCCTAAACCTTTTCCCAGTTTTCCTCATCTGAATAAATGACAACTCCGTTCTTCCAGCTCAAAAGCCAAAAACCTCTTTTCCTCACACCTCACATTGTCTGTTGCCAAAATCCTACCAATTCTACCTAAAAACATACCAAGAAAAAAATGTGCCAACCATTTCTCACTACCTTCACAGCCACCTTGGTCCAAATACCCATTACTTCTCATTCTGGTTATTGTGGAAGCCTCCTAGTTGGTCTCACTGCTTCCCACCTTGCCCTATTTAGTGTATTTTCAGCACATCAGCCAGAGTGAACATGCTACAAACATGTCAGATCATGTCACTACTTCGTTCAAAATCCACCAATGACCACCCAGCTTAGAGTAAAAACCAAAGTCCTTACAATGCTGTACAAAAAAATGTGCTACATAGTCTGTCCCCTGTCCTACCTCTCCCGTTATTATTTTACCCCTCACCTACTTAGCTTCACTCACACAAGCCTCCTTGTTTTTCCTGGAACTTGTCACATAGGATCTTTCTCTGGGCCTTTGTACCTCTCCCTGGACCACTCTTCCCCCAGATACTTGCATTTCCAGGTATTTACATAGTTCATTGCCTCACTTTCATCAAGACTTTTACTCACATGAGGCTTTCCCTAGCCACTCTAGCCTAAAATTACAACATCTACCCAGCCCATCCCCAGAATTCCTACTTCTCTGCTCTGGTTTATCCATACTGCATCTCACTAAGTACTATACAGTCTATTTGCTTATTGCCAGCCTTCTTCACTAGAACACACGTTCCATGATGGCAGGGATTCTTAATTGTTTTGTTGCTGCTGTATCCTCAGTATCTAGAACCAATATTTGTTGAATAATGAGTTGGTGGGAGAATAAGTAGGTCTTGCTGTTGGGTGGGTTTTAGTGTTTCACAGAGGGAATGGAGAACTCAGTTTAATCTGGTGAGTCTGTCGGGTGGAAATAAAAAAATTAGAAAAATTGGAAAGCTTCCACTTCTTTAGATCATAAAAATAAATATATAACTATAAGTTGATAAGTACAGGGAGGAAAATGGTGGGATAAGTGTCTATAAAGGATAGACTGGGCTGCTCTGAGGAAGCAACATTTAAGTAGAGATCCAAAGGATTTGTTGAAGGTAGGTGAAGAGTGTGGGGAAGAGGATTTCACACAGAGGTTTGTACAAAGGCCCTGCAGCCAGAATTACCATGGAAAGTTCCATGAACTGAAAAGGCTAAGGTGATGTTACTGAAGGGAGCAAAGGGGCAAGCTAGAACATCCAGACCACATTTTACTATCTGTATTAGAGTACATTTAAATAACTTTTCATTACCAATTTAGAATTTTTCTCTAATTGAGGAATGAATGGCTTACCCATAGTAAAAGATTTCCATCCTGAGTAAATAGTGTGGGGATGGGGCTTGAGAAACATACTCAAGGGCAGACCTTTTCAACATCCCTGAAGTGTAACTTGAGCACCCCTGTCTGCCTGGTGCCTGAAGTTGGAAGAGATTAGCTTTGTTTCTCCTTTATCTGGATGCCAGTTTTATTTTTATTTTTTAAAATTTTTTGTCTTTTTCGTGACCGGTAAGGGGATCGCAATCCTTGGTGTGGTGTCACCCGCACTGGCCAGTCCTATATAGGATCCGAACCCGTGGCGGAAGCGCCGCTGCGCTCCCAGTCTGCACTCTCCCGAGTGCGCCATGGGGCCGGCCCTATTTTTCCTAAAGTACATTGAAGAATTGAAGATCTCTCAGGCTGAAAAATGCCCCCTGTGGATGCACATTTCAGGTTTTAATATGGTATTGTCTGATGGATTTCATTGACAGGCTGGTGGTCCAAGTTGAAAAAGGTCTCTGGGTGCCTAATATTTGCAGATGCCTTTATGATCTGTTTAGGAAGACCAGAGATGATTTGTCTTCAATTAAGGAAAAGTGGAAGACCATACATACACACACACGTGTATATATATGTATTTCAAAAAGTTCACGGAAAGATTCGTATTTTTTAATTCTATTTTTCCACGAACTTTTAAAAGTACCCACGTATATAATTTTTTTTTTTATTCCTCCTTCTCCACCTTCAGCTTTTCTCTAAAAACCACTGTCTTTGGAATTAAAGACCAGAGCTAAGAAAAGGGGAGCAACAGACAGTTGAAGTGTTCCCGGATTGCTTCCCCACAGCTCTCGCTAATAAAGGAAAAAGTTGGCGACAGGTCTATTCTTTGGATGAAGATAATGTAATGGCTTGGCCTCTTGATTGGAAACTAGGGCGAGTAGAGTACCTGAGAGAAGTGAGTCCCAGGGCAAACGGGTTGCGGGTAGAGGGAGCCAGCTCCAACCTGGTAAAGATGACCATTCCAGTATCACTCTTTTCCCACAGGGGAGGCAGCCTCCCTTCCCCGGGCCCTGCCGGAGGTGAAGGCAGTCCCAAGGTTAGGTGGTCAGTTCGGGCACCCAAGGCCGGGCAACAGGCAAGTTCTGGCGGAAAGTTGGCAGCCGCACCCCCCTCCCCTGCCTTTTCCCTCGACTCTCCACCCCTCTCCGGGAGATACAGAGGAGGTGGGGCGGGTGGGGGAACTGGCTTGTGTTTTGGAACAGCTGCAGCCGGCGCTGGGCCCGCCTGGAATGCGAGAACAGGCTGCGCACCAGGACTTTTATGGAAACTTGCTGCTGGAGACGACGGCGGCGGCGGCGCCGGCAGCCACTTCCCCGGGCCCTGCCGGAGGTGAAGGCAGTCCCAAGGTTAGGTGGTCAGTTCGGGCACCCAAGGCCGGGCAACAGGCAAGTTCTGGCGGAAAGTTGGCAGCCGCACCCCCCTCCCCTGCCTTTTCCCTCGACTCTCCACCCCTCTCCGGGAGATACAGAGGAGGTGGGGCGGGTGGGGGAACTGGCTTGTGTTTTGGAACAGCTGCAGCCGGCGCTGGGCCCGCCTGGAATGCGAGAACAGGCTGCGCACCAGGACTTTTATGGAAACTTGCTGCTGGAGACGACGGCGGCGGCGGCGACGGCAGCCAGAGGGCTCCCGGCGGCTGGAGCAGTAGTGGCAGCGGCCAGAGCGCCCACACCCTACCCACACCCGGGCTCGGGACGCGCACAGTCTCTCCGCGCGCAAGGAGGACCTTCGCTGTCACCGGCTCCTGGCGGGTAAGAGGAGTTGGGGGAACGTGGGATGGGGTGGCGGGGACAAGACGTGTCGGGTCCCTCGGCCGGGGTGGAGGCGGCGACTGTGAAGAGGCTCTTCGGCAGCCTCGGCTCCTGGCCGGGCTCGGCCGAAGCATCCCTCTATGGCTCCGCGCTGGTCCCCGGCCCTAGAGTACCGGCCCTCGGAGTTGTATCCTACGGTGGGTGCGGACCAGAGTCGGCCTCGCTGTCTCTCGGTGCTGACCGACCTCCGGTTTCTGGTTGCGATTTCCTTGCCCCGCTCCCCCGCGTCCGCTCCGCCTGTGCTTGCGGGTTGTTTCGGGTGCCTTCTCTACTCCTGCAGGAAAAGAGCCCTCCGTAGCCGAGTGAGTGCCGGTCCTTTTGTTGTACCCTTGGGGTCCCTGCGGGTAAAGTTCAGCGTGGTCCCCTACCATGTGCTCCCGCCGCGGTCTCGGTCTCCGCCAGCAGTACCAGTTATTTTTAAGAAATCATGCCTGATCGACACCCTGTGAAGGCTGGGGAGTGAAATACGATTTAACAGCGTATCATCTACCCGCTGTCTCCAAACTTTTTTCGCGATTTTGTACGAGGTGGGGTGCTGGGGGTTGAGCAACTGGAGCTGGAAGTTGAAGTGAGTGAAGAATGTAGTCATATCTTTAGAACTCCCTTGTCTATATATATGCTTTTGAAAACGCCAAGCCAGTTTACAAACACAGTAAACATAGTTTGTAAACTATAAAACGTTATATAAATGCTCAAAATTTATTACTATTGGCATTTGTAAAGAAAATAGCCAAGTTCAGAGGTTAGTTGGTTATTGCAATGACTTCGAGATACTCATTTTATATTTACTAAAGGCCACAGCGTGAACAAAGAGAGTTGGGAGAGAGAGATAACAAGGTAAAAATAGCATAAGGATATGACCTAACAAAATGTCTGTCCTTGGGAAAGAGGTAGGTAAAGAAGTAAGCCATAATAAATAAATTAGTTCTCTGTCCAAAGCAATGGGAACATCATTCATCGGCTAAATTTTGTCAATGAATTCATGTAACAGGGCACATTAGCCTGCAAGTCATAACATAACTATGTCTTGGGTAGTGTGATTAAATAAACTTATTTATAACCATCTTAGTCACGCGTTGTTCAGTAGACCATATAATTTTTCCCTCCAATATTATCTTTTTACAGGTTAAACTGCTGCTGTAAGAAATGTTAAAATACATGTTTAAAATTCTTTTGCATTTGGGGGTATTGGAAAGGAAAAATTGAATAATTAATTAAGTGAGGGAAAGGTTTTTTGGAGGGAGGTATATTTAGTATAAATAATTTTTGGTTATTCATTGTGTAGCTGGTTAAGATTCTTCTTCCTCACAGGTATTAGCACCCTATTTTTGAAGGTATTTTATATTTTGACTTGCTACCTAGGAATAATCTAAAGAAAAATGTGTGCAATTCTGTATTTTATCTGCAACAACTCCCTTAAAGAGCCCTAAGCAAAAATCACAAAAATATTCTTTTAAATCCAGTTTTCCTCATTACAGTTATTGATGTAATCCAGTTTTAATAGAAGATTCACACTTTTAAATTCATTTTAAATTGAAATGTAGTTAACAGGAATTTTTCCTGCTTACCTTAAAATGGAATGTGTGCTATTTTTGAAAATTTGACATACAAGGCTGATCATTGTCAATGTATGTCATCTTAAGATGACTATATTTAGCATCAACAAAGCAATGCCATATCTAGGTTTTTGAACAGTATTTTTCCCCTGATATTTCACTTGAAGTATTTAGGTTAGGGTTTCACTTGTGAACAGAAAAAAAAAAACCCTAAATATGTATATTTGGAAGAGATTGAGGATTTAGATTGCTTATAACCTGAGTGGCCTGAAATGACATACTTCATTTGTGAAAAAAATAAAGTCTACCTGTTATCTTTGAAACACCTTTAAGGCAAGAAAGGTATTCTTTAAATAAAAATATGAGAATTGTGTATGCCTATAAGAAAGAAAACAATGCAGTGAATATAGAAAAGTATGTAACAGATGGGCAGAGGTCTAAAAGTTTTTACAGGAGAGGACTTCTCGTATATATATAATTTTGTAGGCCACACACACAAAACATCTTAGTAGTTTATAATTTAGAGGGAAAACGACTTACAACATTCTTAACAATTTCACATATTGCTGTTCTAACTGCATAGTTACAACTGTATACACTTAAAACTGTTACATTTTCTTCTCCTATTTAAACAGTCAGCATACAGTTTGTCTTAATTTATAGTAACGTACTTTCTACACTCCAGGATGGGTGGATTTTTACCCAGAAGTCCATATTAACTTTTAGTCATAATTTGTATTATAAAGCTAATACAATTATATTTATAGTTAAAAATTATGGAGAATGGAAAATGGGGCTCTCATAATCTGTCATCTCTACTGTTAATATTTTGATATATTTCCTTCTAGTCTTTTTCCCACGCATAGGATTTTTTATTGCATTGTCCTATTTCAGTGAAACAACATATGTGAAAGCATCTGACACGAGTCTGCCATCTAATAAGTGCTCAACAGGTGATTCTTTTTCTTCCTCCTTTTTCCCTTTCTTGACATCTCTTTCTTTTTACTCTCAGATTAAAAGACAAGCAGATTGGGGCTGCCCTAGGCAAGGTGCCCTAGGTGAAATTTGCTGCCCACCTTCCTTTCTGTGCCTCTTCCATGTCCTTTCTTCCCCTTTGACTCTGCCTCCCTCTTTCTGGCCAAAAATAGGCCTCGCCTTTGCCCCTTTCCATTTTCTCAGTGCTATGTAATCATTTAGATTGTGAGCCACATATTGATAATCAAGAAGACACTAATAACCACAGACATGCTTAAAAATTAGTACGTTTTACATTAAAATATGGATTTGCATCCTCTCTTGAAAAATTGGAAGATCTGGGCAAAATCGGGTCCATATTTCTTCACAGCAGTAATACCCTGGAACTAAGCAGTGATTGCCCCACAGACAGAGCTTGCACACTCTCCATTTGAAATAGTCTTTCTATTGTTTTACAGCTAGTCACACTCATTTACATTACCTGTCAATTACATTATATAACATTACCTTACAATACATTTACATTACCTGACCCTAGACACTTGAGTATGCAATCTCCTGATGTAAGTATTAGGGCAACTCTGACACATGATATGATAGAAAGTCTGCTGGACTTAGCATTGGAAACCTAGACTTCAAATGTTGTAGATATATATTTTGTTAGCAATCCTCATAAATAATGTGATCGTGGCAGTGGGAACAAGAGGTTAGCATTTATTGACAGTAATTGTTAGTATCAGTTAGAGCTGGAAGAGACCATGTATTGCTAACCAGAACAAATCAAGTATTTTAACTGGTAGGATTTTAGAAGGCATAGAGGAGATATTTCTGGTAAAGCAATCTTTCCTACTATCTCTTAATTCTACTCCTTCCTCATTTGAGAAGTGTTTAGGAGAGTTTTTGTGACAGTTTTTGAGCTTGGCCATAAAGAGGAGTTAACTACTGTTCTGCCTCCCAATCCCACAGACTTGTTTGGCACCAGATTCCCAGGTCTTCTCATTCCCAGCTGTGTCATTCAATGAAAGACCATCTTCCACTTGCAGAGGGTAAGAAGGCCCAGACTCCTCCAGCTATCTCCACATTCATTTGCTTGAGAAGGCAACTTCCCGAAGTTCTGGGTTTCTGGTTGTTCATGACATTTAGTTTAGTATAAACCCAGCCCATTTTATTTTCTATTATTTTACTTATTTAGTTAGTGCATCTACATCAACAGCCCTCCTTTTGTAGATATCAATTATGAGTCTTATTTGAGCTGATTTTGGATTGGACAGTTTTCTTCTTATCTCTTTGTCATTCATTCACTCACTCTAGTATGAATTGAGCTTGTATTATGTCCTAGGTGTTGTCTGAAACACTAAGGGTATATAGAGAAAAAGGACAGTTCTTACCTTTCAGGGGCTCATAGTGTGGTGAATGCACTTTGAAAAGTATCACATACAGTCATACAAAGACAAGGTATTATATATAATTATTACAGAAGAATATCACGGCAGGTTGAAAGTAAAGTTCTTGGTTTTCAATGAGGAATTGTGTATTGGTACTGGCAAAAAATCTATTTCAAAAAGGTAAAATGGGATCTAATTTCACATTTTTGAATTGTGATGAGGTTTATGACAGGTTTTATAGTATAATTTTTAAAGTATAAGGTTGCAATTTTCATTAATTAAATGTAATAAAGTTACGTTATATTTCAGTTTGTTTCTTGTATAACTGAAAAATGATAAAAATTTAGGCTCACATTTTATGAAGCTCAAAACAATTTTGCTGTTTGTTCCAAAGACTCTGAGTTAGATTTTAACATTTTCTCGGAGTATTTAGTTTAATGTTTATTTAAAACTTTCTTAAAAGTTGAGTCAAAGATTTTGCTTGAGTTCAAAGAGATGCAGATTTAAAGCTATCACTGTCTTGATAATCTTGTTCCCCTCAACAAAGGAGATAATACATTAACACAACGAAAGTTATTCTAAATGATAGCTTTGATTTCAAATTCTTGATTTCTGCTTTATTTGCAATTCATAAAATATTTTAATTGCATATCTAAAAAAGCAAGGAAAATTAAATTTAGAAAATGTAGAAGTTAAACATAGGTCCAATGAAATTCTAGAACAGAAGCATTAATGTTCATATTTTAAGAAAGATCTGTAGGCCGGCCTGTGGCTCACTCGGTAGAGTGCGGTGCTGATAACACCAAGGCCACGGGTTCGGATCCTATATAGGGATGGCCGGTTTGCTCACTGGCTGAGCGTGGTGCTGACAACACCAAGCCAAGGGTTGAGATCCCCTTACCGGTCATCTTTTTTAAAAAAAAAAAAAAAAAAAAGATCTGTTGTTCTTAATGTTATATTCTGCTATGAGGCATACATTCTCTCACAGCTTGAGTGTCATATCTTTTCTTTTTTTTTTGGCAGC